ATATAATCAATACAGCACCATCCTAACACCAAAACCCCTGACCCTGGGGCCTTCAAATTCAAAATTCTGGAAGAAGCACTCTTTATCATGATAACTATGTACTTAAATAGTTTATCTAATACCCAGGAGCAGAGAATATCAAATATTCATGTATTTTCACTATATAATCAATTGAGAGTCCCACCCTAACACCAGAACCCCTGACCCTGGGGCCATAAAATTCACAATTTGGTAGAGGCAAACTTGCTCCACATAACTATATACTTAGTTACTTTATTTATTACACTGGAGCAGAGGAGAAGATTTTGAAAGAATTCGTGTATTTTCACAATATAATCAATAGAGCCCAACCCTCACATCAGACCCCCTCACCCTGAGGCCTTGAAATTGACAATTTTTGAAGAGGCCCTTTTGGTCATCAAAAATATGTACTTAATTAGTTTATTTAATACCCAAAGAGCAGAGAGTAAGAGTTTCAAAGAATTCATGTATTTCACTATATAATCAATAGAAAGCCCAGCCCTTACACCAAAACTTCTGACCCTGGGGCCATAAAATTCACAATTTTGGTTCAGGCACTCTTGCTCATCATAACTATGTATTTAGTTAGTTTATTTATTACTCAGGAGCAAAGAAGAAGATTTTCGAAGAAATAATGCATTTTCACTATAATTCGTTTTAGCCCACACCTCACACAAGAACCCCTTACCCTTGCATTGGGCCATGAATTTCACAAGTTTGGCTGATTGATGTCCAGAAGTAAAGAAGAAGATTTTTAAAGAGTAGAGCAAAACCCCTTCACAATTATCGTCATTCCAACCTTAGTGAGTCGCCCGCGTGGCGCAGTGGTTAGAACGTCTGCTCTAGAATCGCGAAGTAAGGATTCAATCCTTACGTCGCAGGTTCGAATCCTAGCGTTGGACGTGTAGACCGGTCCTTTGGATGAGACCGTATAAACCGAGGCCCCGTGTCGCAGTAGGTGCTGGCAGGAAAAAGATCCCTCACTGCTTAAAGGCCCTGAGTGCCGAGCATAACACAAAATTTGTAGCCCTCCACCGACAAGTGGTGGCGTCTCCATATGAGTGAAAAATGCTCGAGAGTGACGTTAAACAACATACAACCAATCCAACTTTAGTGTTGTGTACAGAGTTTAGCAAGTCGAACACACTCATAAAGCGTACACACTTTTTGTAAACAGGGCACCACATATACTTGTCGACAGGAAAACCCCTCCCGATATTCAACATCAGGGCTTATTGGATATTTTTTTCACATATCTTTCTATTTCTCGAATCTAATTTATCAAGTTTACACCTGTGTATCTACTCCTTAGTTCCTGTATTTACCTTGTATTTACTTCTTTGTTCCTGTATTCACCTGTGTATCTACTCCTTAGTTCCTGTATACACCTGAGTATCTACTTCTTAGTTCCTGTATTTACCTTGTATCTACTTTTTTGTTACTGTATTAACCTGTGTATCTTCTTCTTTGTTCCTGTATACACCTGTGTATCTACTCCTTAGTTTCTGTATACACCTGTGTATCTACTCCTTAGTTCCTGTATACACCTGTGTAACTACTTCTTTGTTCCTGTATACACCTGTGTATCTACTTCTTTGTTCCTGTATACACCTGTGTATCTTCTCCTTTGTTCCTGTTTACACCTGTGTATCTACTCCTTAGTTGGGTACAGTCCACTAATTGTTTTCCCATAGGCGACAATGTTAACGTTTCTTCTCATAGCGATGTCCCTAATTTTCGTTCAGAAGTGAGTGACCCCTCAAATCAAAGCACATCAACTTGTCTTTCCTTGGTTAAAATCTCGAGGTGGCATGTCAGATTCGTTTTCCGGCAAAATGCGTCTGTCTGCGGGAACCTCTAAAAATGAAAGTGAAAGTAGGGGAATTTCAGAATTGTAACTGGCGTTATAATACACAAAATAATTCGGCTGATCTTCTTGATAAATTACATTTTCCAAGCTTTTTTGGTAGGAAAGATACTCCTTATCAACAAGTGTGAGGCTCAGTTTAGTACATCTGGCCAATTTTTTTTATGCAAGTCTGCAAATTAAGGAACTTGGAAATTTTTCTGCACTACTTTCTTCTCCTACCGATTCTAAAAATAATTAGTGGGATGTACCCAATATGGAAAAGCATTTCTTTGATTTTACAATATTTCACACTGTTTGTCAATCTAGAGCATAAGTAGAGAGATCAGGCCAAGTTTCATGAAAATTCAACAATTAATTAAGATTTTACAGCATTTACAGTTCTATGTGTAATATCCTTAAAAACTGCTCCAATCTAGCCAAAACTGCACCCAAGTTTTAAGTCAAATTTTAGCCTTTTAACACATTTATATCATTCTTAATCACCTTCATAACTTTAAATACATATAGTCAAATCATAATCAAGCCTTTAATTGGGTCAATTTCACTTATTTTAAAAAATTAATGTATTTCCGCACAAAATATGACCACTTTTCACCCTCTAATTCATAGTTTCTCCAGAAATGACAAAAAAATGAAGTTAACAAATACCCCGAAAGTAGTAAAATAAAAAAAGTACTGATTATTTCCTGTTCATTGAGGTATCATTCATGAAATTTGGTCTATGAATAAAAAAGTTATAAGCCTTTATAATCCTATATAGAATCATTTGTTTCAAAGGAATTTTTATACCAATGCAAATTTACTCATCTACATGTATGACGTCACAATGACATCATAATAATGGATACCTCAATGCATGTGTATCATTACTTTTCCTGTACTTTTTATTTAAGACAAAATCAGTGCTTATATACTATTATTAACTTTAAAAAAATGAAAATATATGGTTTTGCAGATTAAATAAATAATCCACTAAAGTTGTTTTGTTTCCATGGTAACCATTTTGTAATTTGTAGGAAAATGAGACAAAATTTTGAATTTCCTGACAAATCGCATAATTTTGACTGTCAAATATTCATGAAATTTCAATTCTTATATCCGTGTAATCTTAATAATGCATAATTTACAAAACAAAGATGTAGATCTAATTAATTTGAAATTCTTAAATAAAAAAATAAATTGTATATGAGCTGCAAAATGTATATAGCAGTGCATGTACAGATTAGTTACAGATTAATACTTTCACATTCTAATCACCTATTTAATATGTAAATTTCCTCACCCCCACCCCATCCCCCACTTCAATGAATTTCTTTTTTAGAAAACTTTAACTTACACATTTTGCCGACTGTCACACTTTGCTGGTGCTGTTTCAAGATGTATTCAAATGGGCGTGCATTTGCTGGCCAATAGTTTTAAACACCATCTGCATGGACCTCATGTTTTTCCTGAACCAATCACCATGAACCTAAAAAAAAATTCAATACAATAAATGGCACAATATCACATTTGCAGACAGACAGAAACACAGACATTCAACACGTACAATTTTACCATATTCCTTTTATGCCCATTACTTGAAATTAATTAATTTAAAATTAATTAAAAAATGATTAATTGGCTTCCACCTGAAATCACACTGTTAACATATATAGGTAATTAAGTTAATTCAACAGAATAGGTAAAAATCATGTTTTACTGACAATAATTGTACATTCAACAAATACATGTAATGCAATTGCTAAAAAATATGAGAGAAACCAGTTAATGTGCATGTTCACACACATCGTTTAACTCCCAAACAACTGTAACCAGCTTCACCGCGCAACTGATCTGAAATGATGTATGTCATGTATGTGACGTGCCGATCATCGACATGTTCCAAAAAACATTAAATTGTTATTTACAAATATTGTACTAAGGTATACCTCTTGCCTCCTGTGTAACATACAAATTCCCATCACCTATATACTGCTAAACAATGCACTGAACAGTTTTGACAACTTTCTGCTAAGTCTACTTTCACTTCGACCTTGACCCCGATTGAATACCGATCCCGAACATATTTGTGAATTTTTGTGTATTGAAAATAAACCACAGTGGAGCATATACTTCTATATAATTGCTTCTTAATCAAATTATACATTTATGATTCTGAATAAATTTTATAAATCGATACATTTAATCTACATGATACATGGGTAAACAATGGGTGATACATGTATGAGTATGATGTCTGTTTCAGGGGGGGGGGGGGGGGGGGGAGGTCTAGACACTTTATTTATGAATCAATTTGCTTAAAAATGTGTATCAACAATTCAAGAATTGTTTTTCATAAATTTGAACAATTGAAAATAATAGAAAACACCAACTTTGAAAAAATAAATTCAAGATTTATGACATCTTTCACTTACTTATAGGCTTCCTAATATGGGTACAGTCCACTAATTGTTTTCCCATAGGCGACAATGTTAACGTTTCTTCTCATAGCGATGTCCCTAATTTTCGTTCAGAAGTGAGTGACCCCTCAAATCAAAGCACATCAACTTGTCTTTCCTTGGTTAAAATCTCGAGGTGGCATGTCAGATTCATTTTCCGGCAAAATGCGTCTGTCTGCGGGAACCTCTAAAAATGAAAGTGAAAGTAGGGGAATTTCAGAATTGTAACTGGCGTTATAATACACAAAATAATTCGGCTGATCTTCTTGATAAATTACATTTTCCAAGCTTTTTTGGTAGGAAAGATACTCCTTATCAACAAGTGTGAGGCTCAGTTTAGTACATCTGGCCAATTTATTTTATGCAAGTCTGCAAATTAAGGAACTTGGAAATTTTTCTGCACTACTTTCTTCTCCTACCGATTCTAAAAATAATTAGTGGGATGTACCCAGTTCCTGTAACACCTGTGTATCTACTCCTAAGTTCCTGTATTTACCTTGTATTTACTTATTTGTTACTGTATTCACCTGTGTATCTACTTTTTTGTTCCTGTATACACCTGTGTATCTACTCCTTAGTTCCTGTATTTACCTGTGTAACTACTTCTTTGTTCCTGTATACACCTGTGTATCTACTATATATTTTTATGATGTGTAATTACACACATAAAAATGAATGTCGGCAGATTTTTTTCCGTTTCAGATCTTCCCGTGGATTGTGAGGACATTCGTCATAATGGTCACCATGGTTCAGGAGTTTACGTAATATATCCCTTTGGTGTGAACTGTCGCCCTGTCCGTGTGTACTGCGACGTGACAACTCGGGGCGGAGGATGGACGGTATGTAGTTCATTTAGAAACTATTTACTAGATTCATTGATTTTGTGGTCGAACAGCTGAGTGTGAAACCTGTGGTCCAATAGCTTAGTGTGAAACCTGTGCTCCAATAGCTAAGTGTTAAACCTGTGGTCCAATTGCTAAGTGTGATACCTGTGGTCCAATAGCTAAGTGTGAAACCTGTGGTCCAATAGCTAATTGTTAAACCTGTGGTCCAATACCTAGATGTGAAACCTGTGGTCCAATAACTAAGTGTGAAACCTGTGGTCCAATAGCTAATTGTTAAACCTGTGGTCCAATACCTAGATGTGAAACCTGTAGTCCAATAGCTAAGTGTGAAACCTGTGCTCCAATAGCTAAGTGTTAAACCTGTGGTCCAATAGCTAAGTGTGATACCTTTGGTCCAATAGCTAAGCGTTAAACCTGTGATCCAATACTTAAGTGTGATACCTATGGTCCAATAGCTAAGTGTGAAACCTTTGGTCCAATAGCTACGTGTGATACCTGTGGTCCAATAGCTAAGTGTGAAACCTTTGGTCCAATAGCTAAGTGTGAAACCTTTTCGTCAAATAGCTAAGTGTGAAACCTGTGGTCCAATACTTAAGTGTGATACCTATGGTCCAATAGCTACGTGTGAAACCTGTGGTCCAATAGCTACGTGTGATACCCGTGGTCCAATAGCTAAGTGTGAAACCTTTGGTCCAATAGCTTAGTGTTATTGTGATCCAATAGCTAAGCGTGAAACCTGTGGTCCAATAGCTTAGTTTTATTGTGGTCCAATAGCTAAGCGTGAAACCTGTGGTCCAATAACTAAGTGTGAAACCTTTGGTCCAATAGCTAAGTGTTATTGTGGTCTAATAGCTAAGTGTGAAACCTGTGGTGCAATAATTAAGTGTGGTCTTGTGGTCCAATAGCTAAGTGTGATACCTGTGGTCCAAAAGCTAAGTATGAAACCTGTGGTCCAATAGCTAAGTGTGAAACCTGTGGTCCAATAGCTAAGTGTGAAACCTGTGGTCCAATAGCCAAGTGTGAAACCTTTGGTCTAATAGCTAAGTGTGATACCTGTGGTCCAATAGCTAAGTGTGATACCTGTGGTCCAATAGCTAAGTGTGAAACCTGTGGTCCAATAGCTAAGTGTGAAACCTGTGGTCCAATAGCCAAGTTTGAAACCTTTGGTCTAATAGCTAAGTGTGATACCTGTGGTCCAATAGCTAAGTGTTAAACCTTTGCTCCAATAGCTAAGTGTGATACCTGTGGTCTAATAGCTGAGTGTGAAACCTGTGATCAAATAGCTAAGTGTGATACCTGTGGTCTAATAGCTGAGTGTGAAACCTTTAATCCAATAGCAAAGTGTGATAGCAGAGTCCAATAGGTAAATGTAACTGTGATACCTGTGGTCCATAGCTTAGTGTGATGCTTGTTGTCCAGTAGCTAAGTGTGTTACCTGTTCAAATGCATATATTTCAAGCAAATGTTCTACACAGTAATTGGAAAATTACTTTTTTGTACTTTAAAAAGCGGGCTTCATATTTTAGCGGAGACAACAATGTGCTAATGCCTGAAGACCGCTAAGAAATCATTTGTATATATATAATACACAAAACCCTAATTTATGATTACGCAAACAACTCTATACTCAGTTGTAACACTAAATTTTGAATACTCGTAATAACGTACTCATACAGTAATTATGTAACTGACTAGTCAGTAAGGGCCATGCTCAGGGGTTAAAATCTAAGAATGCAGCTTAGGAAATGTGAATTTAATAATATGTCAGATTGTAAAAACTGCAGCAAAAGTCTCTGTCGAGACTGTATCTCTACTGATTGATACTTATAACAAAGGAAGAGAAGAAAAATTTAAAACAGCAATAAAAAGAATGTCGAGCCTTGATTAAGTCACTTTTTGTGGCAATATAGCAATAAGACCACAACTGTAATGTAGGAGTGGCTTTTAATAAAAATTTACAGAATAATCAATGCGAGTCACCATGGCAACATCATTCAAAAATAAATTTTAAAAGATAGTAATGTATCTTAGTGTAGTCTACCCGCGTTTCAGCCTTATTGCATTATAATCAGACGAAAACTATTTTTGGATAGAAATTAAAAAAAAAAGATGTACAGTATATTTTGTCTTTTTTAGTTTACTTGTGTACCAAGTTATATTGAAATCAGACAGAAACTGTAAAAGGAGTAGCATTTTGAAAAAAGAATGTCTCCAGACAGACAGACAGACGGCACATTACTATCGCATCCGCTCTTCTGGTCTCTGACCAACAGAGCTAAAATTAGGAAAAAGCAACTAGGGGGTCCTAAAAAGGAGAAATGTTGTTGACGGAAGAATGACAGACGGACGTAAAGACAGATAGACTGATTATTAAACGATATGGACAAATCCTTTTAGGACTCGTATTGTTTTTGTTTATCTTTTAAAGACCATTCAAAAACGAATAGACGGGTCTGTGTCCTTTGAAAAGAATTGGGCTGACTATAAGGATGCATGGTTTCGGTGTACCTGAACGGAATGTTTGGATAGGTAAATTCGAATCTTTTATGCGCTGCAGATTTTTATAAATGAAATTTGTACTGTATTTTCAGATTTGACATCAAAGTTTGATCTAATTTTTAAACAAGATTATACAAATTCAACAATACTCATTAACCGCTTGTAACTTTACAACAAATTTAATAAAAGAACAAATGCTAACTTTAAAAGACTAATTTTTTTTGATATAACAATTCAATATCTACATATGAAACGTTGTAAAGGATAATTTATCGATCATAAAACGTTCGAGTATTACATACTTCTCTCGACAATTTAACAATTATAAAATTCAATTTATACAGGAAATGACGCCATCCATCAGCTAACAAAGGGAAAGAACTCCTCCCTCTACATCTCCATCACACTTGTGAACGGTACAACACTGTACCAGTTGTACAATCAATTCTCCATATCTGATGAGGCAGACAAGTATCAACTATTTCTGGCAGGACCAACCACGGGAACTTTAGGTAAGTGAAAAGTGGGACGTGTACTTTACAAACCAGAGAGAGAGAGAGAGAGAGAGAGAGAGAGAGAGAGAGAGAGAGAGAAAGAGAGAGAAAGAGAGAAAGAGAAAGAGAGAGAGAGAGAGAGAGAGAGAGAGAGAGAGAGGAAAGAGAATTGAAAATAAATACAAACACTGGTCTATATGAATACCGCTATACATTCCACATTGTCTTAAACAGGTCTGGACGATTTCTAAATATGGAAGTGAAGAACGATAACCGTGAATTGCTATTAATACACAGAATAAACAAGGCCCTAGTCCTTCTGACCAATCAGATAACACCTTTTAGACAAACTCATGATAAAATAAATAAAACACGTGGTTTTTAAGTTTTTTGCTTAAAAGATTTTTTTAGGAATGTTGTTTATACCCCCGCCTGAAAAGCGGCAGTGTATATATATACTGTAAACCAACTACTGTATACAGGGTTATTTTCACTCCGTGTTATTTTCGCCTTTTTGAACTTGTGAACAATTTTGCCCCGTTTTAAATTCGCCCAATCAAGGAGAGAACGAAAGGGGTGAAAATAAAACGGGAGCAAAAATTTTCCCCTGCATACATTATTATTCGGGTCATATTTTATTCGCGATTCGTCAGTTAAAAATCAATTCGCAACGATTGAATTTCTGCGAATGAGCAAACATTTTCTACAAATCCTTAGCAAAAGGAATGGTTTGCAGCGTTTAATATTCGCGAATTTAAGTAGATCTCGGCACGCAAGGATATTTCTTGCACGTGAATAAAAATTGTTTCACAGTATTAGTCGGGATGACTGTGTGTTTGTAAAGCTTTGAGGTACCCATTTCTAATCCGCAGCTTCTCTTATACCACCGAATGAAATTTTGTGAAAATTTCACAGAATCATAACTACATATTGCCATTGGGCACCTCCTATTTTACTTTTGAAGACACATATTTTTGGGTTTCCCCTATATGAATTAAAAATGTTATTTATAATCAATAATAAGTAATGAATATTCAATTATTATTAATTATCATAGTGAGCGCAGTGAGGCGGCGCGAAGCGCCATCGCGTAGCGTGCTAAATAGACTTACGTGAACGAACGGAGGAAATTCTAGTTGAAATCTGCACATTGTTCCAAGATAGTTTTACCTCACTGCGTGAAAAAATTCAAATCTCCCAATAATTCTTTGCGGTGCATAGCAACATGGTGGCTAAAACATATAGCAACAACTTGCGTTCTAACTCAACAGGACTTTTTATTTGACGTCATACTTGCGTCACTTAAAAGCTCGGGTATTGCCGAATTTGTTGGAAACTTCCGAAAAGTTCGGAATCTCGATCCCGATGTCTGGGCTCAAAAGAGCTAATGCTATGGCCATTCGTGCGGTGTGCAGTGTGCGTCTTGCGTTGTGCGTTAACTTTTTAGAATATGGGTCATAACTCAAGAACCCCTTGGCCAATCAGTGTCAAATTTGTCACAGGGTATCCTTGGTCCAAGGGCTACCATTTATACTAAAATAAGGGTTAGGGCCCTAAAACAAGGGGAGATAATCAGGAAAACAAAACCAAAAGTTCTGGTTGCAAAAAATTTTTCTTCTCCAGAACCACTAGACAGATTTTCACCAAACTTATATACAATAATCAGGATCGGTATGTGAAAGATTAAAAATTGTTCAAGGCATGACCCTGGGGCAAGGGCGTGGTCTCAAGGTCACTTGAAAGTTGACCTAAATTTACAATTAATTTACAATTAATGAAAATGTCTATATTTTGCTTACTATAAGGACTAGGATCATCAAATCTTGTAAGTAGATGCATCTTAGGACTTAACATCATGTTAAACTCAAAAGTAGGTCACGTTGACCTACTTTAAAAAAAAAAATTCGGGCATTTGTTCTCAAATTGATTTGAAGGCGTATTTTGGACACTTTAGGGACTATGAGCATCAAACAGTTGATGCATCTTGGGTCCTTGAACAACGTCAACTTAAAAGTAGGTCACCGTGACCTACTTTTTGAACTTTATGACTTATCCTTTTTAAATCATTTCATCTCATTATTTCAGAAAGTGAGAGGGTTAGAATCATCAAATCTTGTAAGTTGCTGCATCTTAGAACCTTTAAACATATTTAAATAAAAGTAAGTCACTGTGACCTACTTTTAGAATTTTGCAGGCATTTGTTTTCAAATTATTTAAAAGGCATTTTTTGATTACCTTCAGACCATTGATCATCAATCTTGGTCAGCTGATGCATCTTTGCACCTTGAAAAATGTCGACCAAAATGTAGGTCACTGTGACCTACTTTCGGTATTTTATGGCTATATTTCAGTATCTTAGGTATTTCTTGGCTTAAAATCATCAAACTTTGTGAGTTGATGCATCTTGGGTTTTCGGAGAGTGGCAACCAAAAATTAGGTCACGGTGACCTACTTTCAATATTTTATGGCTATATTTATGTATCTCCAGTACTTATCGCCTTACAATCATTAAACTTTGTCAGTTGATGCATCTTGGGTTTTTTTGGAGAATGTCAACCAAAAAGTAGGTCACGATGACCTACTTTTGACATTTTATGGCTATATTTTAGTATCTCCGGTACTTATTGGTTTAGAATCATCAATCTTTGTCAGTTGATGCATCTTGGATTTTTGGAGTTTTTGGAGAATGTCGACCAAAACGTAGGTCACTGTGACCTACTTTTTACATTTAATGGCTATATTTACGTATTTCTGGTTTAACTGGTTTAGAATCATCAAACTTTGTTAGTTTATGCCTCTTGGGTTTTCTGAGAATGTCGACCAAAAAGTAGGACACAGTGACCTTCTTTTGAATATATCAGGTATTTATTGGCTTAGAATTATCAAACTTGGTCAGCAGATGCATCTTAGGCATCTTAGGCCTCTGATAAATGCAACAAAAATGTAGGTCACGTTGACCTACATTTGACATTTAATGGCTATATTTCAGTATCTCCAGTACTTATCGGCTCAGAATCATCAAACTTTGTCATTTGATGCATCTTTGGTTTTAGGAGAATGTCGACCAAAAAGTAGGTCACGATGACATACTTTTGACATTTTTATGGCTATATTTAAGTATCTCCGGTACTTATTGGCTTAGAATCATAAATCTTCGTGAGCTTATGCCTCTTGGGTTTTCAGAGAATGTCGACCAAAAGTAGGTCACGGTGACATACGTTTGAATATCTCAGGTATTTATTGGCTTAGAATAATCAATTTTGTCAGTTGATGCATCTTGGGTTTTCCAAGAATGTAGACCAAAAAGTAGGTCAAGGTGATCTACTTTTGAGTATCTCAAATACATATTGGCTTAGAATATTCAATCTTAGTTTGTCTATTAATGCACTTGAGTCCTCAGAAAACTTCAATCTTAAAATAGGTCACCATGACCTACTCATGGTTTAATTTTAATATCTTTAATTAAATATCTTCAGTCCTAATTGGCTAAGAATCATCAATCAGTTGATACAACTTGGGTCTTAGGATACTTAGGGTTACAAGCTTCAAATACAAGTGATAGGTTGTACAATTTATCATTACGGCGATTTATGGCCCTTGGGCCTCTTGTTTTAAATTCCTTTCTTCTTTTTTTTGAACTGAGAATAGGCAGTGCAAGTAAAAGCTACTAGACGAAGTATGTATTATAGGTTTTTGATAGTAAATAACTGCGCTCGCCCCAATGGTCGCACTGTAGAACATATTATTAATATTTCAATTTTTTTTTATTTTAGAGTTACAATGTACTTTTCTTTTTCCGTCCGACTTGTTTACCTGTATGAGCAAAACATGCATTTTGTCATGATTATCTTATGGGAGTCACCGGTCACGGTAGCCAAGTGGTAGAGCCTTCGCTTCGTGATCGGGAGGCCCGGGTTCGATTCTCTATCGCAGCGCCGCATCATACCTAAGATGTAAACAAAGGTAGTGACTGTTCCTTCGCCAAGCGCTCGGCACTAGAAGTGAAAGCCACGGGTCTTTCGGATATGACCTTAAAAACGTAGGTCCCGTGTCACGGTAGGCGTTGGCACGATACAGAACCCTCACTGCTCAATGGCCCTGAGTGCCGAGTAAAAGTCTAAATTTGAAGCCCTTCACCGGCATCGGTGACGTCTCCATATGAGTGAAAAACTGTCAAGAGGGACGTTAAACAATATACAATCAATCAATCAATCTTATGGGAGTCGTGGGTACCAAGTATCATTAGGTGAGGCTCACAGTACCTCAATTTTTTATTCTTCAGGGGACTCAATGTATAAAACGAGGAGGTCTTCCGCTGATCTGTCAGGGATGGCTTTCAGCACCCCAGACAGAAAAAATGACAAATGTGTGTATGACTGTGCTTCTTACTGGAAATTAGGATGGTGGATGAATTGCTGTTTTGACGCCTGTCTCAACGGTCTCTGGTCTGTGACAGGCTGGTCGGACCCATGGTATCCTCTAGTAACATCTGGGACATCTGTGGCAGGGACGATGATGCTGATAAAACGTCACTAGGTAAACATTAAACAACATTGATTGTTTATAAGTACAGTATTTATAAGTACAGCAAAGGCGGATCCAGGGCCAACACCCCCCCCCCCTTTTTTGAATTTCTTATTTGAAATTTTGTTTGTACTATCCCAAACCGAAAGGAAAATTATTTGTTAGAATTTCCCCCATTTTAAAGAGGTTTGTCCCGGATCCCCACTCAGGCTTTGCCCTGGAACCACTAGGGGCTTCTATGCAACCGTAAGACCCCCGACCTTTTTCCGTGTCCTACCGTTTTGAAATTCATCCCAGTATTTATAATATTACTAAGTATAGAATTAATTATTTATAAGTACAGTATTTATATTATTTATACATGTAAGTAGAGTATTTATATTCATATTATTCATATATTCCTTAGTTATGCATAATTTATTTGTATTAAGTACTTATCTACATTTAAATGATGTCATTTAACATTAAATATCATTTTGTGAGCTTGGAATTTCATACCACTTTTAAAAGGATGAAAAATAATTATGTTTCTTAATGATTAATTTTTTTTTCTAAAATGTATAAATTTTTATTTTTTAGTTTGTTCATGCTCAGCAAATTCGGATTCAAGAAACCCATATTTTGGGGCCCCGTGAACGATTGAGGACACGGTTCTTCTAGAAGATGCACTTTTCCCTTTGTGTTAATCACTGCCTTCCTTTAACTTTGGTTTGAATTTGACAGACACGTAGTATGCATTTTGAAAGTAGGATGTGGAGTTGGACAGATATTGACTGAATGGCCAAAAAAAAATATGAAGACGCCTTTATGAAAAAAATGGAAATTGTCCAATATCAATAAATTAGAGGAAAAGATTCAGTTCTGAACTTTTAAAAAGCTTGAAATTTGAAAGAATGGCAAGAGAATATGGGTTGGGGGTTACACTATATTAGAAAAAATGGAAAGGAGGGGATATTTTTATTAAATTACATATAAACAGTAAAACGTATTGGTTGAAAAAGTTGTGAATTCTCTACTCGATAATACGACATTATAGATTACTTTTGTATGTTTAACATTCAGTGATTTTTGCTTATGCTGTGCAGTGTTGTAAATAAACTGTAAACTCAAAATATATTTTGTTGTTTTCAAATACTAAAGGATGTATAAACAGATATAGCTGCAAACCTTGAGTTTTCTTGGTCTGACATAAATCAACACTTTTAGGTCAAATAGGCTTTGACCTATAGGACAGATATTGATTCAGTCTTTAGAAAAAACTTATCGTTACCCGTTCCAGTCGATGACTTTAGGCTACATGCGTCAGCGTGTGATGTTTGTTTCTCATGTATAGCTTTAGTTTTGAATGCATTCAATTTCCATAGGAATAATCGTATTTCCTCTGCAGTATCTCTCGCCATAAGTTCAATGAAGGCAAATTCCTCATAAAATATAATTTCTGAAAGTGAAATTAATAAATTATATGTATCTTTGTAAGAATTGAAGATTCTATGTTGGCCCAAATTGAAATCTCTAGATCATGTGAATTGATATTGGCTTTATCCAACGAGTTGAAATGGTGTATATATTCGCAAAGCTTGCCGAGGGGGTAGTGGCCATCTTTTCTCTTTTCGAAAGCCAAGATCATTTCAATACCAATTTTTTTCATCACTATACTATGGTAAAATGTGGGGGACAGGGGACAACCGGGCCCCATCCCTCTTTTCAATTAACATATTCTATAGTAAAGGTAATGATGGGGAAAAAAGTGGGAGTGGGGGGGCACCCCCCTGTTGCTACGTCCCTGCTTGATAAAATAAGACACTTCTTTGACATACTCTTTTTCTTGCTTTGAACTTCATTATTGTTCTTTACTATTCATTTTACAAGGGCAAGAAGTTTTACAAATAAAAGTTTCAGTTGAAGCGAAGGATCTCGTCAAAAACCGGAAGTGCTATTGATAAAGCAATGGTTCATCCAACGGGCTGTATCATCCACACGTATGAAATAAATAAGATGTAATTGATGATATGTATTTTCATTATCGAACATGTCTACATGACACGTTCGTCTAAGATTTTGATAAACCTTATAAAGATAAAACAATACTATCGCCTTTTTTCCACAAATCGATCAAATATACCAATCTCAGAAACCCTATTTGAAGCCCCTAGAGCGAGTAAAATGATTCTAGCTCACCTGAGCCGAAGGCTCAATTGTGCTTTTCTGATCACATTTTGTCGGTCAATTGTCCGTCCGTCCGTCAACTTTTCAAATTTTCGACGTCTCCTCAAGAACCAATAGGTTAATTTAAGCAAAACTTGGTAGAAAGCAATTTTTGGTAAAGGGAAGTTTAAATTGTTAAAATGAAGGGCAAAGTTCCCTTACAAGGGAAGATAATAATCAAAAGACGAACAATAAAGTGGGGTCATTCAAAATTCTTATTCTCAAAAACCACTTGGCCCGGAAAGCTGAATCCTTCGTGGAAGCATTCATAGGTAGCGTAGATGACCCCGGGGTTGGGCAGGGTCACAATAGGGAATCAAAGTCTTACATAGAAATATATACAATAAACGTGTAAAAATCTTCTCAGAAACCACTAGGCCAGAAAAGCTTATACTTATGTTGAAGCATTCTCGGTAGTGTAGATTTTAAATTGTTAAAATCATGACCCCCGGGGGTAGGGCGGGGTCATAATAAAAAATCCAAGTTTATCATAGAAAATGAAAAAAAATAAAAAAAATCTTCCTCTTGGAAGCATATTGGTGAAGGGTTAATTTTAAATTGTTAAAATCATGACCCTCATTTTTGTTTTACATAAAATTATTTAGGAAAAATCTTTTAAAATCTTCTTCTCAAAAACCACTGGGTCAGGCATGCTGAAACTTATGTTGAAGCATTCTTTGATAGTGTAGATTATTATATGTATTTAAGTATTAAAATCATGAAGGGGAGGGGGTAGGGGGACACGAGAGGTTTAACAAGAGAGAAAATCTTGTAAAGAACTGCATCACCCAAGTTACTCAGGTGAGGGATGTGGCCCATGCACCTCTTTTTTGCTAAGTTGTAAGATAAAAAGGTCGTCATCACTAGGTATATTAGACAGCTTTTTGAGAACAACATTCATATCCAAGGAAAAACATACTCGTATATAGGTTGCGGTGGGTCTATTGAACAAAGACCTATCATCTTCTTAGTTAACTGAATATCTATGGATCTAATTTCAAGGAACTCGTGTCCCTGAAATGACGACTCTCCCAGTCTGCCTTTAAAATTCATCTACCCGGGTAAATGTTATTCCACACCATCCTTAAAGACTTGCATCTAATTTAACTATCATGTTCGGGTGAGGGCGGGTTTCAGCTCTCAATTCCATACGCTGAACAAATTGAATAACATCAGAAGTGCCAATACCCTTACCCGTTTTGCTCATTCACTATGCCTAGCTCCATAAAATAGAAAGTGGCCCTAAAGCATCAAAATTTTCAACTGTGTATTGTATACATTTTCTCTAATTTGGCGTCATTTTTCCCCCTTAATAATATTTTTTTTTTTAAATCTTTCTAAAGACAAACCCTGAGGCTTTTTTTTAAATTAGGTATAGGACAAATCTTTGCAATATTTTGCCTTTTCATTTTATTTAATAAATTTGTTGTGTACTTGCTTACAAATTTTTTGTTGTTGAGATTTATGGTTTATATTTAGTGGTATCAGCAGAACTCAAAAAGACCAGAATCTGACCCAGAACTAGAGCTTGAGGATGAGCTGGAGGAACTAGAACCATAGGAGCTGGAACTAGAATCGTCAGAGGACCTGGGGCCCGTTTTACAGAAGAACTTCGTCTAAATACAAAATTCTGTTCATACAACTCCTCTTACAATGATTCTAAAAAAATTCTTTTACAAATGATTTGATAACACGTTTAATCTAGCAATTTTGAACAGAATAATATTTTTTACAAAATTTTACAATCATCTTAAGGTTTTTGGTCTAAATTGTAAGTTCTTTTGTCAAATGAGTCCCTGTTCTTTTTACCTTTCTTTGGTCTCGAATGTGTTCTGCTTTTGTTGGAAACATCTCCAGGCTTACTTTTCTCTTTCTGAATTTGCTTTGAGGACAACTGCCGCCGATAATCATCGTCTGTTTTGTCCGCCATAAAAACTAGATGCTGTCATGAGACAGTAATACCCGCACTATGGTGTTTACCTCTAAATATACACTCATTCATATTGGACTTTCCAAGGAAGAAGTCAAAATAATTCTATAATTATCACCGTACATGTATTCGTCAAATTGAACATAAAATTTTCAGATGACCATATCAACTCTGAGCCTCACATATGTATTTTAAAATACTTAATTCATAACCAGTCTGAAATAACAGAATTTAATTAATGATTGAAGTAAATTACTTAATTAGATTCAAATAAAATAATTTTCCCATAATTTGGAACTTTTTAAATTTACTGTCTCAACGACATAAAATATTATTTTAGTACAAAGCGTTTTTGATGAATTTATCAAAATGTGCAAACTGATTTTAGTATTTGGTGGGAAAAAACCCATTGAAAATACAACCCGATTAATTTGTCAATGCCTATCTCCCCCCCCCCCCCCACACACACACTCTCTCTCTCTCTCACTGTCACTTTTTTTAAAAGACATAGTTTAGTTTATTATGATAGTTTGAAATTTGTTCTTGTACTAAACAGTTTTATTTTTTTACATTCACATTGGGTTTGCGTCACCCATTATCATATTTATAGATATCACCTCTCGGCACACCTCGGCCAATTCATACTGGCAATGGAATCAGCAAAGGTTTGTCGAATGAGATTATTTAGCACATGTATGCTGACGATGCAGTGTGGTCAGTTAAAATCATTTGTGTTTTAATTGGATTATATGGATTATATTTCATGAATTCGTTG